TTATGGCAAAAATAAACATCGGCTGATTTGAAAAGATTTATTATAGTAATAATAGTAATCTCAGGACAATTCACACAGCTTCATCTAGACCCAAGTTAAGCTAGCTGAACATTGTGTTATGGGTACCAGATAACTGATACAAATACAAAGATTGTTTTCGTAAATTAATATATATTATCTATACATAGAAAACACCCAGACCGTTACAAACAATCATACTCATGAATACAAATGTTTGCAGCGTGCGAGGAATCGAACCCTCGACCACCAAGCAGGAATCAAAGCGGTGTACTAGCTAAATCGCTAGACTACCGACAACTAGCTGTACACGCGACTTCGTTCGCGTGGAATGTAACTTCTTATATTTTAGTAAAATAAAGTTAAATTACACACGGACGAAATCCCGTGTACAGCTAGTCATCAATAAAAAAAAACACGTAGGTATCTCTAATATATTATACACTAGCTATTCCCGCGACTTCGTCCGCGTGGTTTTTAACTTTATTTTTCTAAAATAAAAGTAGCCTAAGTTACTCCTTATTACATCAGCTACCTGTCAAAAAAGGTCCCATCAAAATCGGTCCAGCTATTTCAGAGATTAGCCGGAACAAACAGACAGACAGACAGACAAAAATTGTATAAAAATAAATTTTAGTATATGTACCGTATTTATATTCATATGCAAGTAGTAAAAAACGGTTATTTCAATATTACAAACAACAGGCTTCAACATTCTCAAGTACCACAAAAAAGATGTTTTTTCTATCAAATAAACCGTTTTTATTAAAAACAAGCTGTTCCCGCGACTTCGTCCGCGTGGAATTTAACTTTATTTTTCTAAAATAAAAGTAGCCTAAGTTACTCCTTATAAATCAGCTACCTGCCAAAAAAAGTACCGTCAAAATCGGTCCAGCCATTTCAGAGATTAGCCGGAACAAACAGACCGACAGACAGACAGACAAAAATTATAAAAATTGTTATTTTGGTATATGTACCTTATATATATTCATATGCATGTAGTAAAAAACGGTTATTTCAATATTACAAACAGACACTCCAATTTTTATTAAATGTATAGATGTATAGATTATTATTTATTTATTTATTTATTCATCCAAAATAATACAAATTGTGTAGGATAACGTAATAGTAACATTACAGTAAAATTTTGTCAACAACATAATAGCAACTTAAATATTAAATCTCGGTATATCTATAGACTAGCTGGCCCCAGCGACTTCGTCCGCGTGAAATTTTATTTTATTTTTCTAAAATAACAGTAGCGTAAGTTACTCCTTATTACATCAGCTACTTGCCAAAAAAAGTCCCGTCAAAATCGGTCCAGCTATTTCAGAGATTAGCCGGAACAAACAGACAGACAGACAGACAAAACTTGTAAAATATGTTATTTTGGTGTATGTACCGTATTTATATTCATATGCAAGTAGTAAAAAACGGTTATTTCAATATTACAAACAGACACTCCAATTTTATTTACATGTATAGATGTATAGATTAAAAAAAAAGTAACAGTCATAAGGCTAGTCGTATGGCTAATATATATAATAATGTAATAAATTCATTTAAACAGAAATTGCGGCAACATTATTTAAATTTGTAACTTTTTTACTGTCCTTCTCCTTTTTTCACAACTTTCTGTTATATCCCTATAGTTCTCTCTATATTTTCTGTTTTTCTTACTTTCAATTTGAGACTGTACTTATAATTTGATTATCGGATCATTATGTATTTATTTATACATTTATGGGTTATATATTTATGTATGTATATTGTTATTTTTTTATAGAAATGTATATTTTGCTTTGTATTTATATATCTTTTTTTGACATTTCTTATTTATATTAGTGCACCGCCAATAATCTTTCGCTGCACCACTCATGGTTGCCTGGTAAATAACGCGGCAAAATATTAAGTCCGCCACATGTACAAATTTGTTTGTGCATTAAAGTTAAAGAAATAAAAAAAATACAATACTGTTTAATGAAAATGCGTATTGTCTAGTGCTTAGAGATGTATCAAAATAAGGTCAACAAAAAGTCCATGATGGTATATGTCTATCTCTTAAGGATAACCAACAATAACCATTTTTTATCTTTTACATTTTACGGGAATTTTTTTTATCGTATGTTTCCCTTAAAATCATGTAAACTATGTTATTATGTCATAATCTAAAGAAATAATAATATTTTATAGTGACATATCCACTATAAAATACCAAAAAGTAGCAATGTAATTCGTTACGCGCGAATCAGCTGTTATAAGGTCAAAGGTCGGTGCACCCCGCGTATTTGATAAATAGTGCTTCTCTGGATGTCTTTAAGAGAAAATGGCAGTATGTACGTGTATATGTACAAGTCCTTAAGTGTTAAGTTTTTCAAATGTACAATAAAGAATAAATATTTTTAAGTACAGTACTTACGTACATTAATATAATACCTACTTTTTACTTGTATCTATTGTTATCAAAATTAAATTATAAGTTCTTAACTTGACCACGACTATGTGACCCTCTCTTGGCGCCAAAACGAGTGAAAAAATGAACAGCATACGACGACGACGCAGTACCTATAGAGTGGAGCAAGTGCTTATTCAGTTTTATTCAACTATTTAGTCCCTCCACCGTTACAATGAATGGAGGCGGATATTAGAATGTATGTAGCATTGCGAATATAAAATATCTAGATTAGGTATAATAAATTCATAATTGATAGGCCGTTACGGTATCAGAGCCAAAAAGTCTTCTTTCTTTGTTTATGTACTGTTAGATGCGACAGCGACTTTGTTTTATACTACACTATGTAATGATTGATATACCTAAAATAAATAAAATATCTGAGGTTTAGACAAAAATTCAAAAGGTACTTTATTTTGAAAAAGTATTCTGAAAATACCTATTTTGCATTTAGTATTTGAAATACAAAACACAAAACTATTTTTGTTTTTAGAGTGACATTTCTATGAATTCACTGTCGATAGCGAGCGGTGCGATGGAAAAAGATAACCGTTTATAAAAATATAATAAATAGCCCTGGACAATTAACACAGACTGATACTGAACTGATATAAATAGATATTTTTATTTTGTAAATACATATATAATATACATATAAAACACCCAGACCGATGAAAACAATCGATGACCGATGAGTACAAATGTTTGCACCGTGCGAGAAATCGAACCCGCGACCATCGGATGTAAAGCGGTGTGACCACCGAGGCAGTCGAAATATATGAATAATCTTATGAATTTAATTTATTCTAATTTGTTTGTGTGCGTGGGGTGCGGTGTACGGTCCCCCCTGCCTCCCCCCTGCCTCCACCGTTGCTGGAGCTTGCATGTATGGAACATTGCGAATATAAAATATCTAGATTAGTAAATTCATAGTTGATAGACCGTTACGGTATCTATATATATTCGGATTAAAATAAGTATCGCAGTAAGGACCAGTATATAAAGTGATCAACACAATTAATTGATTTTTGAAATATATATACAGAGCCAAAAAGTCTTTGTGTATTCAAAAAATATCTAATTTGTTTGTGTGCGCGGGGTGCGGTGTACGGTGCTCCCCCCTGCAACGGTGGAGTTACTATGTATGGAGCATTGCGAATATAAAATATCTACATTAGTAAATTAATAAAGTCATAATTGATAGACCGTTACGGTATCTACATATATTCGGATGAAAATAAGTATCGCAGTAAGGACGAGTATATAAAGTGATCAACATAATTAATTGATTTTTGGAATATATTCAGAGCCAAAAAGTCTTTGTGTATACCAAAAATTTAGCCGTTCGGAGCCATTCAGTCACGAATTATTAGTAAAAAAAGTGTCGAGTATATCGTACTATCGACGAATATATATGGCCACATCGCAAAATAGAATGCGACGTTGCCATACCGCCTGAGATATACGCGATAGGAGTCAAGTTATTCAGTGCAAAAGGTGGAATCGGCAAGTGTTTAGGTTGTGGCGTGATCAACAAAGTGCCCAAAGAGGTGTTTATATATATATATATATATATATATATATTATTTGGATTATAATACAGTTACTTTTAATACTATGAATTTCTTGAAAGAAAACCTATTCTCACTGAAAGACTTGTCTTTCAAGAAACTCGTTTCATATCACACGATAGAAGCACTTACCTAATTAAAAAAATTGAAGGCACGGTTGGACATCGGGTCTTTTTTTTTCAGTGACATCGTATATTTTCAATTGACGCAAAAAAAATGTTGTTTTTATAATATATTATATATGAACACATATCCTCGTCACAGTTTCTATAGGTGAGCATTATTAGTATATAATAATACTACACTTTTGTGGGAAAAGTCTCTCTAATGTACAGTTAAAGTTCTTATTCCCTATATTTCTGAAAGTTCCTTATCTATTTATTTTTCAATAAGCAGTAATACTGTTCGGAAGTATTATTAGATAAATTCTACATATTGTATCTAACAAAAGTAATAAGTATGTGTGTAATATTTTTACGCTGAATTTTTAACTTTCCTACCATTTAAATAACAACCAAGATATTAAGGTTAAAGATGTAATTCATAGGGAACTTTAGGTATTATTATTTTTCATTTTAGCTTATTATCCTAGGCCTATGATTAACCTTTATGAGATGAAATTTCTTCAACAAATTACTTAGTAGTTATTTTATTGTTATCTTTCTTTCTACCTAATTAATAAAAAAATGCCTAGTTTTTAGAATATTGTTTTAATGTTATTATAAGGTTAAACATTATAAATATATGTATTGGTGAGTCTCAATAAATATCTAGGAATAAAATAAAAAATTAGTATGCTCTTGTTAGAAATATATAGAGAAAATCTAGTCTCTGTGCAAATAAATTATTGAGAAGAAAAGAGGCATTTATTAGCACGCGTTTTTCTATACAATTTCTGCAAAGAATCTGGTATAATGATAGATAATAACATAATTATGGATACGTATTATACTTACCAGAAAATGATTTATTTCCTTCGAGCTTCTTCATATCGTTGGGCGTCGTGCTTTTTGTATTACCACAACAACATAACACGACGCGAAAGTATATCCGGAATCTAGGCAAAAATAGTATTTATAAGTAAGATATAGCACTTTCACGACTATTTATTATCGTGGTAGTAAAAGGTAGTAATAACAGATGCAACACTTAACATGGCCATATTTTGGTCGGTATAATCGAACCACAACTGAACAAAGTAGCAAACCTACCTGCACCCAATTCTCGGATTAGTTTGGTTTGTTTTCAGTGTTTCTATCTCCGGAGAGTCATTTACATATATAAATTGACACGAAATGTATTTTTGTATCTGCCAGATTTGAACTTACGTTCTTCTAGTTCAAGTTGTAATAGTAAACATGATCTCCAGGCCTACGACTATTAGGATTTTGCTCGCAAAACGTAAGAAAAGATATATCGTAGTATTATAAAATAAATAATCACTAAAGTGACCTATATGTATATTTGTTTTGATGTTATCTCTATATTTCTATGTTATTCTATATTGCAGCATACGTTATAATTCCAACTCAAGGACATGGGAATTTGTAGTAGTTAATGTTTAACTATAATCCGAAATAACTGTACTGTTACGAACGTAACTGTAACCTCTAATTCCGATTTTGAACCTCTACTTAGTAACTTTGCTACTATTGTTTGTAATACTGATTGTGGGTAAATTAATTGATTACGAGTTCTGACGAAAACGTTAACATTACTATCTTATTCGTTTTTTTGTGTATATAAATAGCTGACTGTCCATCTGATGGTCAGCGGAAATTGTTGTCTATATTCATAATAACCCCTTAATCTCACGTCGTTATGTCCGTAACTCATACGGTGCCGGAATCTTATTACAGAAGACTAAGTATTTTTATTTATACCACGTAGGTGGCAAACAAGCATACGGCCCACCTGATGGTAAACGGTTACCATAGCCTAATAGATAGGATAGTAAAGCTATTAAATAAGATAATAAAGATAAAAAAACCTGTGAATCCCGTAATTTTACTATCGTATTCAACACTCGACCAAAACACAGCGGTCAAAACAAACTACAACAAGTAAGATAGAGACAACGCAGACTGGCAGTAGACGATTTTGTACAAAGTCTACCTCGGTGTTTACAATTAAGAACGATGAAATGCTGCTTCAACAAGTTAAAATATGTCCTAATAAATATTAACAGCATTACGAACATAGACAATGTAGAATTAGAGGCTCGTGGTAAACCTCATGCGTAGTTATGGTTTGGTCTGTATCCAATAATTTGACTGTCATAACTTTGAAATTGTGGCACAATTACTTGCACTACCACAAATACTTGAGACAGAGTTGTATCTATCCAAATCAGTTTTTGTAACGTAAATTAATATTGTTGTTAACAGTGTAGTTTAATTTAATGATAACAATAAGAACATTCAAACAGCGCCATTTAGTACCAAAAGAGTAGTATACTAAACAATTGATAAAAATACAAAACGCATTTTTTTATAAATACATAGATAATATACAATTCAGATAATATATTATGTTTTTTTAATTTTTATTAATATTTATAAAAACATACTTTTAATTTTTATTGAACAATAATGCTTACGATTCACAGATTACAATAAGATTTGATGTACCCCTAATCCTAGACAATTTTATACAAAATGTTCTATCCAAATTTACTCGGAAAAACTACGATTTGAATCTATTATATATGAGTTGTCAAACACTTAAATATTTCTAATATTATAGTAAATATAATGTAATAGTTAATATTCTCTTAACTCTTTTGAAAATATTAAATGTTGGTAAGAAATCTAGATGTTTTTATGGTATCTTTACTTGGCACTTTATTTTACAAATATATGCAGATCTTGTGTGTGCTCCAAGCAAAGCCGAGAATGTTAAATTAAATTGAGACTAGTTTGAAAACTTTAGTTTGTCCGCATTTAAACTTAGATAACTTCCACACGCCTGGGTATCGCGTGTAACGTTTGTTAGGTACTAGTTCCTTACATGTTTGTATCTTGTGACTAGAATAAAGTATTACTTAAAGTACTAAAGTAGGTTGAACACAGAACAATTTTTCACACTATCTTACGAGTACAACAGATCTTAATATAATTATAATTCTGTTAATAAAAGTATACGCGACCTTTCCCTATATAAAGGTATAATTGGGTTAGTTTAGGCTAATGTACCCCTAATTTATTCAAATTGAATTAAATTCAAGTTCACCTAGCAACAAGCCCTAAAGTTACAAACACTCAATTATTTTCAAAGTTGACTAAATTCGTGTCTGTTACGATAAGTCCATTTGTATAGGTACGGTGTAAATTTAATTAGATTAATGATATTAACAGCTTAAATATGTATAAATAATAATACGTAGCATATTTCGACGAAATTTTGAATTGGTGTTTATGTAGGGATTAGATGTATTGCAAGATTTAAAATAATATATGGTACTCAAATTTTGTGCAAGCCACATCTGTCAAGTTTACGATAGGGTGAAGAAAATTTGATTGAAGGTTGCCTACAAGAGCGTGAATGGAAAAAGGTGAAGGGTTGTTCAGTTGTGAAAAAAATTTGGGTACATATACGGTAGTAAAAATATATCTCTCTGTATAGACTATATGGTGAGATATATTTTTCAGCTAACTATAAATTAAAAAAATAAAATAAAATTGACACATAAATATAAAACCTATAAATAAAGGACAAACAATTATACAAAATCCACGTGGAATTTTTAATATATATATATGTAATTGTATTGCACATAAATGAAATTATATGGAAAATTCCTGGGGTCTGGTTACTATACAGCATTAATTAAAATTTAATTAACAAAACAAATATTATCAATATATAATAGATCAATATTAGCTAACAATTTAAATTATCATCAATCTACTGCTATCCACGCGTGTTTTATAAAAGAAATTATAATTTTCAGTGAACATTAAAATTCAGAATATTTAATAGATTGGTAAAATGTTTCTTTTTTAATTTCATACTAGATCACCACATGAGTGTTTTATACTTTAATTTATTACAATGTAACTGTAGGTAGATTAACTTACTAATAATAAAAATATTAAGTAAAATTATAAATAGAAATAAATTTCGACCACAATTGTTGTCTTTGAATTAATATATATTCAAAGACAACGATTGTGATCGAAATTCAGTAAAATATCTCTTGCCTGTTATTCAGTAGGAGATTTTTATTTGATTTATTTTATACTATAATTTTGTTAATATAGTCATAATTATTGTCACCTAAATTAATTCATAACAGATAAATGTAATATCCAACTATAATATTACTTAGTTGCATGCATTTGAATGTATAATATTTTGTGTTATGTGCTAAACAGCTAAACATCTGGTGACACAAGTACGTTGCGGAAGTTGTTAAACAAGTAGTTGCTCTAAACGTTGGTGTGGAGAGCAAGTTTGCGCTTATATTATAACTGCTGTTTGCATTCATCGTAAACTATGAATCACAATAGCGTGAATGTAGAGATATGCTAGTTTCAGAAACTAGTACTATCAATTTACAAAATCTTATGTATATTGTTGTACTTGTTATCATTTATATATTTGTTTATTGTTTTTAGTAATTATCCTTTATCGATCTAATAATAAATGTTTATCGTTTAAATGGGTATGTACATATGTTATGTTAATCATGGTGCGAAAGTACCCACAAATCTCACCTTAACGTCATTCAAGTAGAGCTTGTTTTATGAGTAGTAAACAACTGATAAAAATACTTAAATATTTTTTTGTGAATATGTATATAACACTCAGTCTAATACAAATAAATACAAATGTTTGCATCGTGCGAGAAGTTGACCTGCAACCATCAAAAGTAAAGCGGTGTACTAAACCACTAGACCACCGATCCCCTCACGGTTGATAAAAACAACACCATTACATAAAAAGATTAGTCAGAAACTTACTTGTTACTCATCCAGTAATATATAAGTGGGTTGAACATTGAATTCGCCATGGCCAACCAATAGAAAGCGAGGTACATATGCTGGGCGAAAGCTCCTGAAGTCAAAGAGTGGTGATGGTACGCCAGCACGAAGAATGCATGATAAGGAAGCCAACATAATGCAAACACCATCACCACTAGGACAAACATCCTGACAACCTGCGCAAAGAAAGGACTTGATAAACATAATTAAATCATTTAAAAATAAATTACTCGAACATGAGATCAGAATTATTTTTATTTTATTTATTTATTTTGAATATGTATGGAAGTACATTTTATGTTAGTATATTATAAAACATATATATTCTCTCAGTCCATATTTAGCACTGTTACGTACCCAGTGCATCTGGACGTGGACTTAGGTCCACGTCCAGATGCACTGGGTACGTAACAGTGCAATGATCCTCAGTGCCTCCAGAGCGGACTATCTGTCATATTGGCAATAGTGGGTTGGAGGCTGTTTGCGCTTCCCCGAATTCTAAACATCAGTGATGCAGTTCTTTTTTATCCGCGTTCCTGCAAACATCTCTAATCCGCTACAGAATCGAGGCAGCTCCATCAACATCCTAAACCTAGGTTAGAATTCACAATAGAATATGAATGTTAAATTTCATGAAGTTATATAAAGATCACCTCATACATAATTATTTTAAAAGAGCTGCAAAATGTAAATAAATAATACAATGCAGATATATGAAACCTCTTCGTTTCGCAAGCCGTCTTAATTGTACATTTATTCAAAGATCCGGATTTACATTTACACTCTACTTAAACTTACATGTACTTACGAGTACATATACACGGTAAACATTATCCACTTTTCATGGAAGTCAGGTAATAAATCTAATAACAAATATAACGATACGGCTTAGAGGCGACATGCGGAAATAAGGAGAGAGTTATGAAGACTTTTACAAAGTTTTCTGCATGAATACCTCTTTCTCAACAGTTTCCGCCATGCAGCCAACTTGTTTGTATACTGTATTCGAGCATGAATATATTATGCACAAAATATACCACCATAACAATTATGTTAACATAGTTAATTTATTGAATACGGATATTTCTTAATAAAAAATACATGTAGGAAATTCGACAGGATTTCCTACATGTATTTTTTATTAAGAAATTTGAAAAAGTAGAATAAATTTTGCAACAACATAATAAAACAATAATTCGTATGAATTTCTTTCTTACTTAACATTTTCTACAATATTTTAATTTTGTACAAGCGACTGTGTACATCTAGGCATTAAGAAATTCAGTATTCATAGATCATCGAAACATCTGGATATGTTGTTACACGAATATTTATTTATTAATTTAGTCGATTGGTATATAACTATATCAAATTTCTGTTTTTTTATATACAATCAAGTCATTTTTTCATTTTTAGGTGGTAATAAGTTATTTAATCTCCATAAGATAATAAAAATATAATGTAATTACATTAAGTTTTACCCCAATGAGGTCATGTAAGGTGACAAATAATGCAAAAGAAGGAAACTCAACTATCGTTTTTCTCAATTTTCAACAAGGGAAAAGTATGTCATATAAAATAGAATATCTTGTTGTACTAGGTACGAAATGTACGAACCCACCTACTCGTATATTTGCTACGGCTTTGGACTCAATATGGATAGATCATCCACAAATAAAGTCATAAAGCCTGTCACGGCAATAAAATCCCAATGAAATGCGGGCTTCACTTTATACATAGTTTAGTTCTCGGGATTGTAATAAAAGTGTGTGTTGATTTTGGTTACCATGTTTGCGCTCAGCAGGTTGCCAAACAATAAAATCCTGATGAAAGTAATATTTTTCAATACATTACAAAGGAAAGCAATACAATATAAATTACAATGCTTATTAAGTGGGTTTGAAAACATCTAAAATTCGAAAGCGTCTAAATAAATTGTAAGTTTTGTGAATACATTTTATTACGAATTGTATTAGCAATAACTAGATGTTTTTGAAACTTGTGTAAGTTATTTCTCTAGGTTGATGAATTATATTATTTTCGGGTATTATTCGAATTAAAATAATATACTTTGAAATACGTCAATATAATGCTTTGTAAAGTTAAAATCTCACGGAAAGAGCACAATATTCAGGAGAATAATATTCATTGTAATCTCATAGATATTATTAGATATACCCGTACGTGTTATTAGCTAGTGCTTTATTAAACAATATACAATATTTATAAGGCTTCACACGTGTAATAATATCATATGTACATCGTGATGTAGATAATATCGAATATATAATTCATATATATTCATTAATTTCATTTTTAATAAGGTTCTTGAATAATTGATAATAATATTTATTAAATTAATATTTATATTTAAAATGACTCAAATATAACACAAAAACTTACCGAAAATAAATTGTTTATTATACAAATCCATACAATTTATTTGCCTAAATATAGTAGAAGTCTACTACGCTTTAGCCCTATTAATATTTTGTAGCCTTTGCGGTCTCTATTTATAAATATAACGTTGTAGTAGTAGTCCAGCAATATATATACAATCAAGGAGTGAAAAAAATTAACATATAAAAATTATAATTAAAAATGAGTAAGATATGTCTATACATTTTTTAATCTAAGTTATATCTTAAAGCGTATAAAATATATATTATTATAGTAATTATTTTGTACCATAGTAACCATTTTAATTATTAACAGTGTTGTGGAAATATCAACCAATCAATAAAAGGCATGCTTTTGCCGGTTGCATAACTTACAAATATCTTTACCGCAATTATCTTACGGGTTATTAAATATTAATAGCATGAGTGAAATCCACAGTCAGATCTTGCAAGCTCTACCAAAATCATGTGTAAAAATAAATTGAGTAAGAGTTTATGTGTTTCTGTTAATTTAATAATAAATTTGCATTCAATTGTGGAAAATATATAATACTACTTTTAAATATTTTATTTATAATTTAATATTTGCCGTATAAGGCAGCGATGCGTGGCTTCTTGTGATATATAATATAAGAGCTTTCATAGTAAATACTCTTTTTGGCTATAGTATTATCAAAATAAATTTAAGGTTATATAGAAGAGTTTAAATGGTTAGTTTATGGGGTATGAAAACAAGAACTCCAGCTTTTCATTAGTAGTATACCGGTTACATTTGCAAAAAATAAACCTGTTAATGATCAGTAGGCAGTTTATTATTTTCTTTTCTCTACCATAACAATGAAAACAGTAGTCGACTTTTGTATAAATAAAGTAAATTGTTAAACTGTAAGAAAGTTGAAATAGTTGTATTTTTTAAATTAAAAATGACAACTATTGGAGATTCTAATTTTAAAATTCAATTCAACATGTCAGCATTGTATTTTATAATTACAAGACCACTTACAATCAGGTAGACTTTTTGCTACCTGATTGTAAGTGGTCGCCTATATACATGCTCAGTATCTCCGACATCACGTCATTATGTAACGCCCGTGTTACCTCATGCGTTGCTATTCAGGAGGACAAAGAGTTGTCATGTATCCTGTAATTTATTGTCTTATTTCATCCTTCAACTAAAATATGACTTGCAAAGCAAAGTTAGTGGCTGAAATAGATGACATCGCGCAGACACTCAACGTATACCTTAAGAAAATCTATCTTTTTACCTGAAGTTTTTTTAGAGTACGATAAAAGTTATTGTATTGTTGCCAACAAACAAATATTATAGACGCAGGAATTCTAAACTAAATCCCAACCTTTAGTATTACCAGTAAACTATGCAGTGGCTTAAATAATGTTCTTACTTAATAAACCATTTTAGATTTGTTTAAACAGGAAGGGTCTTCGGATATATTGACTTCACAATTTGCAAATTGCGTTTTCCATTATTTGCTGTACTTGAAACATAGGTATCTAGTTAAACGTCATGTTCAAAGGGATCCTTTCTCTTGTAGGTAATGTAATTTACTTTAAAAGGAAATAAATATTTAATATGTATTTTAATAACTTAAATATATTATTATTTAATTCTTTTGAGGGGTTTTTGTTACTTAACTCCTTCTCGACCGATTTTTATGTATATTTCAAAATGTTCTTAAATGGTTCAATAATACAATTGGAATCTGTACTTTTCCGGTTAGTACGACGTCTGTCTGGTCCGCGAGTAATTTATATGTTTTTCTCTACAGTAAACTAACAAGAGCTTTGATAACAGTACAAAATTACAGAATAGATTACCTATATAAGGTAATAAAATAATCATATAGTATTGCGGAAGTGGATTGTTAGTAATGGGAATTATCTCGATTCAACCTCCATACGGTTCCCTGTGGGAACCATCGTACTCGCAGTTATTTAACTGACTTGGCTTCATGCTGCGCCAGCGAATACCATCAACGCAGGCGGGTGCTTCATAACATATGTACAAATGAAAATCTCATATTTTATAACGAATATTCACTATTGTAAAGTATAACTATACTAACCTTCCGTTTTGCTCTGACAACTTGCATCTGATGGTGAGTACATTCACCAATTGCTCTTCCTCGTAAAGCTGCACTCATACGTGCATACGCCCATACCATCACTGCCATCGGAACTACATACGTCACGGCTAGGAATATAAGGTTGTAGCTGAAAAGACATTGTCCATTTAACAATTATGTTAATCACCTTGTACATAATATATTAATACAGGCGAAATATACAGCTTTAGATAAGTCTATAAAGTCAATATCTGACAAATCAGATATCCGTGTTTGTGTAATATGACATATGTAAGTACGGGGTATAGAAAATTTTATTAACGTCATGGATGAGAATGCCTCTCTAGTCTATATCTACCACAAAGCGTCTTGCGTTGTATGCTGTAGTGAATAAACTATGTATAACACTGAAATCACAAGACGCCACTAATAAAGCATGTTTCGGTGTATTTAGTAATGTCGATGGTGTACTTATATGCATATTATCACTTTCTATCAGTATCAGATTATGTACTACTAAAAAAATACAAAAATAATAAAAAAAACTAATGGTTGGTGAAAATGAAATCAAAACTCGTGATAATAAATTATTTACTTTGCAATAAAACATTTTACACCTATACACTTAACTGAAGTAAAAGAAATGCCGCAAAAGTAAACGACGAAATAAAACTCACATCTTTTCCTAATTCTTTATATTCTTTTCACAAAGAATGTACTCTAATATTAATATACTTTTCTATACATTTATATGCTTAATTTAATATCTAAATCTGAACCTTATCGAATAGCCATTAATAAACGGTACCTACGTATTGCGCGCGCTATCATTTCGACTATGTAGGGGAGGTCGTTTACGTCAATTAAAAAGATAAATGGACCTCGAATTGAGCCTTGAAGAATGTCCGTTTTTTAACAATAGCTTTTACAGACTAGGTAATTTATTTACATTATTTCTCCTAGCAAAGAAAGATTGCCTGAAGTAAATTTCTCAGTATATAAATCAATGCGTTTCAAATAAATGATGATAATATTAATGAGATCATATTTCAAATGAACATATTTATAATGAAGTAAACTATACAGTTGAATATTTCTAAACTTGGAATATTATCAGCCACAAACTTTCAAATGATGTTTGAACTTCTGTACTAATTAGTTTGAACTTACTAAGCAGTAAAACTTAAATAACTGGAATGGGGGTCAAACTTAACCACAAATATTCGATCAAATAGGAAATTTTGACTTAACAGTTCCACTACGACTGTAGACTCAAGAGAACATTATTATAAAGCTTTGTTTGATAAAAATATATCTGCCATTTATTAAATCAATAAATAAAATTTGTGGTGAGTTGCATCTAAAAAGATAAAGTTGTATCCTCCAAAACATTACATTTTTTATACCATAAAGTTGACAAGATGGTAAATGGTTACCCATGTAAACACCAACATGGGTATACACGCGAATAACTATTAAGATAACTTATTGTGCTTTTTAGAAAGGATTCCTATGCATGTCACTAGGAAAAACTTTGAAAGTATTTCATTGTTCAATCGAGTATTCGTGGAGTAAAACTACACCATCAGAGTATACCATTTTGCAACTTCACGATAATATATTATAGGAAATATTAAAAAATATGCCAAGAAAACTTTGTCTAAAATAAAGAAAAATCACAAAACAGGTATGTGTACATAATTATGCATATTAAGGTTCTTAGGTTCATAATAAATACTAGCAACATACATATAATTATTTAAGACTTAATTAGTTATATCACCTTAAAATACATATGAACTTAATATGTAGTCCAAATGCTTAACTACATAGTTATATAGTTAAAGACCAAATAATGTATGTAATACAAGTTGTTGTTTATTTGTACCCATATATAATAATATAATAATACTAAATTTATATGTCTCACCAATAATCTATTTTAGAAGTTGGGTAGCTCCCATCGGGCCATCTTATAAAACATATTTCTCTTTCACCATTTATGTACCTATAACAACACAATTGATATTTTAATTGTTGTAACTATGTTATATTAATGTGTTATATTATGTCTTCATATCCTGTAATTACTACCATATCTCATAATTTGAATGATAACAAGCCCCTGACATCATATATAGACAGGGTTATACAAATGGATTATAAGTACAAATTATATAGTTACTTCGAAACAACAAATTTTGGATGCTTTGAAAGTTTGGATGTTTGATCGGATCAAACTTCGTTTGATTTGGATGCCATGGACCGAACATTCAATCTGAACTATATTTGTTTAAAGTTTAACATGTCACTATATTTCTAACAATAATTTCAGTTTGGCAAAGTTGGCAAAGCGAGTGCGAATATCTGCTGGATCAGAGTATCAAGATTTGTAATTTCACAGTAGGCCCCCAGATGCCAAGCGAGCAACCTTAATCTTAAAATGTGTTTCTTGTGATAACATCTTTAAAATTTTCAAGGGAGATTAGAAATGCTTTTACAAAAGTAACGTTGCAGAAAACCATTAGTAACACTTTTAAAGACCATTAGTAACGCTACAAAATCGATTCGCATTGTGTCTATTAAGTGCTATTACTATTATGGTAGTTATTATATATAGCTTCATAAAAAAATCAGAGATAGAAAGTTATCCACTTGAGTTTTTCTTTGTGGAAATTTGCTACAGTGGATAACAATATAAAAACGGATTTTTATTTTATTTTTTGGAATAAATATATATTGTGTTTTATCTACGTAGTATGTTCTCTAATATATAAGGCAGTGATCGTATGCCATCTACGTAACTGTTAATTCGATTAGCAATTATTAATTAACATTTACAATAAAATTAATTTATAGCAGATAGTCAAAATATTGATATATCGACAAGAATGTATACTATATATATAAAATCTGTATATAACTTTAGTATAGACATAGTATAGTTATGTACAGAATCTGTACATACTCGTAACTTTACTAAGTCTATACTTAGTAAAGTTATGTACAGATTCTCTATCTAGATACATAGGAAGTTTTTAGAAAACCGTTTCTATAAACGGAAACTACATGGAACCGTCCTTAAATAGTCACATGAATAAACTAGTATATAATTAATCGTCCAAAAGATATTAGAGAATTTTACATTGTTTAAACGAAAACTGAAAGATTGACTGTCGCTAAATAATTTCTACTGAGTATTTAACCAAATCAAATACTTTAATATATTTTGCATGCCCATTATGGTAAATATTGATAATCAATAATATTTTTAAATTTCATTTTAATTTTGGAATTAACAAGAAATGTAATTATTTATTTGCGATATATTGCTACTGTAGGAAAGTTGTTACATAAAAATATTATTTATCAGCAATATTGACCCAATTAAATTATATTTATGTAATTTAATTGTATGGTGTTTACATTCCCGGTTCATTTATTATATTTTTTATAATTATAGAGTTATCAAAATCAACAAAAGTTTTAATTATTCATTCAATAAAGTGTTATCAAGTCAGGACAATTATTGAAATAGTATTACACATTGAAACCACTGGGTATCTGACAGTCTGTATTCAAACAAATTGTTACTTTATTGATTAATTTATTTATTCAAGTGAATGTATAGGTATTACTTACTAACAAATAGAGATACTGTCACTTTTAAAGTTGATTAGTTTTAACGTAAATAGTTGTCCTACCAAATAATTCATAAAGGAAGCACGTCACTTACGCACGAAGTATTAAATTTGACTTCAAAGCCGAAACAAAATTGGTACAAACAATTGGGCTTGGATCATTTATATTTGAAAGAGAAATTGCAATACATGAAGCTTTGAACGTAATCCATATCAGGGGAATAGGATGTAAAAAAATGTAAAAAAGTTAGTTTTTAACTGACACTTGAGACCTTTAAAATATGGATATTGTATAATAGATAGGTATAATATAATATTATGAAGAGCATTTTTTTATATTTTTTGATATTTTAGTGTATCTATATACTAATAATATAAAGAGGAGATATATTCTTGTTTCATGAAAATACTTGACCAATTTAACAAATTATTTGGGTACACATAACCAGACATTATCAGGGAGTTCCAGTAAAATATTTGATGTGTATTTTGAAAAAAATTGATATGTCTACAGTAATTTTACCGGCGCGAAACAGGAATATTTTTTAGTTATATATGTGCATATAATGTCCTCATTATATATATAATAAACCTTTTTATAATTTTAATATAATTAATACAAAATTATATTAAATTATAAAAAGGTTTATTGCCATTTCTGGGTCAATTCTATGCGGGAAAATTTTTTTTTAGATTATTTTTCTCAATATCACTGATACACCTTGTAACAAGAGCTGTAATTCTTTAGCAAGATATATATATAGGACTAATAAAGTTAACCCTATCAATTGTAATTAGAATTAAAAAATTTACGATCAAGTTTGACGAAGTTTTTTCACCTTTTGGTAGTCAAGATCGCACAGTAAACCATTACGCAAAAGGAGAACAATCATAAAATTTCTGAATTGAAACAGTTGGATGTTAAAATGAAAAGAAATGAATTACGATGTTATTGATTATTATGTTAGTAGACTATATAAATAGATTTTGATGGTGACAACCTTTGCGCTATTGGGTATAGAAAGAGTATGGTTTTACTTGTTCCCAAAATAATATTTACTACAGATTTTGAGTAATTTATAAAACTGATATAGAAACATGCATTTTATTCAAAATTTTGGAGACAAAATTGGCGTCATTTTCCTTTACATGTTGAGACGCAAGATAAATTATCATACAAAATTTAAGAAAATATAGTATTAGTCATAAATACTGTATCAAATAAATAAATAAAAATATACAACAAAAACAATTAATTAATTAATTACATAAATATACCAAATAATGATTAAGTTTCTATTATTCTGTTGTCTTCACTGTCCTACTAGCTTATAAAATTCATAAAATAGAATAATAATTATCTCTTTTTTATATTTACTAAGTTTCAAAAACAATTTAAAGTTTTAACAAGCTTGTCCCAGGTGTTAATTAATATGAAAATCCTTTGCATTTAAATAAAGTTCGGAGGCCTCTCAGTTAGCCATTATGGTCTTTTAAATAGATACGTATTTACATTTACGTCTTTTAAGATTTTAAAACCGGTTTGACAGTCTACTTACATTTTCACGACAATTGTTTTATAATAGTATTAGATTATATTAGTATTATTAGAGATACTTTTAAACCCTGAAAGCTAAATTATCTGTTATGAAATTTTACTTATATTATGGGAACTACTAATGGATCAAAGATCAGATGTAACTATCTATATACTAAACTTACTGTTTTTTGTATGTATCAGAATACAGTAAATTCGGAAGTGCCAGTAATGCGCTTAGACACCAAACAGTCACGAGGGCCGCACGAGCAACCTTCCGGCTCAACCGATGATGCAACGGCTTTACTATGGCCACATACCTGAAAAATACACCATTGATTAATACTTCTTTACAATTACAACGGCTTAAGTATAAAATACAGAAAACAGAGACCAACATATGTAATAGTTTTTACATAAGCTACGACAGTTTGATTTCCCGGATAAAGTGTGGACCCTATCTCTTACAAATAATATATTGACGAAACATAAGACTAATTATTACTTAAATTACTTTTTGTTGTTAGTCGGCAGTAGATTATGTACCTACTATTGACCAAACGATAGAAAGTAAGTTAAATAATAACATTATTTTTATTTATTTTTTTTTAGGAAGATTAACAGTGTAATTTTTTACATATTACTAGTCATATTAAATTGTCCTATGCCAATTAATAATCTTCGCCAATAGTATACACTATATTTATAATAACTAATTATTAAGAGATATTTTCATTTTTCGCTTTATAAAATTGTAACATCTACTTACATATAGAATCATGGTCATCATCGTCTTAAACTACCTACCATGTCATTTATTGATGAATTCACTAATGATGAGGTAGACAATTAACAAACTTACTGATTTCATTCTTTATCATATATTCAAATTCAGACTAAAAATAATACTCATAAACATAATATTACTCCAGAATACTAATATTACTCAATTCATATTCAAGTATATTGTAATAACATATTTTATTTTGATAACTAAACGTAAAATGCTCACTACTGTATAACTTCGTACCAAATTGAAAGTACTCGCAGCGATTGCCTTGTAAACGTCAGTTTCAAGATACGATAATATTTATTTTCCTTTCAAAATATTTTCCTACCGACTGAGCATAAAAACCGGGACCCTATGTTTAAAGAGAAACTTATTTAGACGGTATATATGGGTATCAGAGCGGAGAAAATGGTTCAGTAGACTAAAAGTTAGTCTAGTCTACTTTGTCATCATAAACAAATATTTATTTTACACAACTGGTAATGGGAAATCGGGCATCTTATTATGAAGCTTTTTTTTTGTTTGTAAAGATGTTTTCCGTACTGAGAAAATGAATACAGAATCAACCAGTATCAAAATGAATTCTTCAAATTTGTACAGTATTAGAATTAATTATCAAATAAAATCAGTAGAATTAGGAATATTTTCCTTTGTATAATATTTGTATTTTCTTTGTAATATGAAAGTGACTACGAATACTGAATTAAGTTAATAAGTTTGTTCTAGAACTATTTCCTAAGTGTTCGGTGTACAGAGAGCTCTGGGAACCGAATCATCATAATGTGAAAAGTGTTCCGGTCATCATAGTTTCTTAAGTAGGGTTCGCATTAAAGTACCTTGATTCCCCCCGGGAAACCGCCTCGAGCCTACGGTTAGAACCGGAGCTATTTTCAGTTACTTAATATTTTGCTGCAGGTCCAATCATCTCAACTCCGTTGGGTGGCTAGATTACACCGAAAATTTTGTCTTACCAAAGCTTAGTTTTACTCATTGCTTTCCTGCGTTGGATTATAAATGAAATTTCCAAGTCGGAAGAGAATACACTTTGTATATATCGGTAGTGCCGATTTATAACATGTAAACACTTTATGGAATTAAATATGGACATAGAAAAATGAGGCCTGTCGGCTTCTGAAAAATGTGTATATACAAGATTACACGAAAAATATTACTATAACTACTGTAAATGTTTATAAGGTAATTTACGTGCGGCAAAACAGCATGAAGAAAAGAAGAAGATAATAATAATAATAATAGAAGCAAATAACCTTTAAAAGGTATAATATGATAGAGATATTCAGTGAATTACGTATACAGTTGTAAATATAATTTATTTCGTTCCAATTGCAGTTGCACGTTACATACAAACTGTTACTTAGCAACAATACTTATTTTAAATGTGATGGATTATACTTTTTCTACTTCAATCAATGTGCCTAATACGGTCCCTTAATCCATTACATTTAAGACATTCTCCATCTCTACATTTAAATAACATACATAATATAAAACAATATACAGAAGAGTAAACAATAGAACTACTAGCAAAAAACATATCCAAAATTAAATCTGTTAAAATACTAATAATTTCTGTTGGACCTATACCGCCCCCATAACAGAATAATTTTGTAATATTTGAGTCACAACTACCTTTAACTTCGGACCTGATACACATTTCGTCAAGATATCTGCTATCATTTTTTCGGTCGGTAAGTATTTAATTATAATGCTATTATTAGCCACTGCCTCTCTAACGAAATGATATTTTATATCTATGTGTTTAGTCCTATTGTGATTCATTTTATTTGCAGCTATTTTATGCGCAGATTGATTATCATTATAAATCAAAACTGGCTTACTACTTCTCTTAAGTAAACTGTTAAGTATATTATTTAAATATACAGCCTCCTTTGAGGCTTGACACAGAGCTACGTATTCTGCTTCGGTTGAGGAGAGTGATACGCATTGTTGTTTTCGGCTTTCCCACGATATAATATTTGTGCCTAATTTGAAAATAAAACCTGTAAAAGATTTTCTGTCATAAGACCCACCCCAATCCGCATCTGCATAGCCATAAAAATTAACATCTTTCGATTTTCTAAAAGAAAGACAATGATTCAATGTCCCCTTTAAATAGCGTAAAACACGTTTAGCACAATTGAAATGTAATTCATTATAACAGGAATTAAATTGAGATAATAAACTAACAACATGTGCTATGTCTGGTCTAGTATTTACAGCTAAATAATTAAGACATCCTATTAAATTTTGATATGGCAAGTCGCATTCCGAATTTGATGCTTTTTCTAATTTAAGACCTAGCTCCATTGGGGTTTTAACTGGTTTACAGTCAGTCATCCCGAAGTCGTTCAAGACATTTGTTATATATTGTTCTTGATCGAGATATAAGACACCATTTTCTCTCCTCAGCCGCATACCTAAAATATGCCTAGCAGGACCTAAATCTTTAATTTTAAATTTATTCAGCCCCTCTTTCAGTTTCTGTTTTTCGTTTTCACAATTACCAAAAACAAAAATATCGTCCACACAAATTACAACAATTAACTTTTTATCACCATCTAACAGTTTTTGATATAAACATGGCTCTATTTTAGATTGTTCGAAACCTAAATTCAACATTTCCCTATCTAACTCATTAAACCAAGCATTCGAAGCTTGTTTCAGACCATAAAGTGATCTTTGCAACTTACATACTTTTGATTCTTGACCTTTAACAAACGCCCCCTCGGGCTGATGCATGTAAATATTTTCTTTTAATTTCCCATATAGAAATGCAGTAGTAACGTCCCATTGATCAATAAACCAATCGTATTCAGCAGCTAATGAGAATAGTAACCTTAAAGTTGAACTTCTTACTACTGGTGAATAGGTTTCATTATAATCTATGCCACGTACCTGTGTGTAGCCCTTGACAACTAATCTAGCCTTATATTTACTTATTTTACCATCACTATCTCTCTTGATTTTGAATACCCATTTGCATTGAATAGCCTTCTTATCAGGTGGAAGGTCCTACTAGCTTCCACGTCTGATTTTCTTCTAGTGATCGCAATTCATCATCAATTGCTTTCTGCCATAAATCACGATCAGATCTCGCTAATGCTTGCTTTATTGTTAATGGATCGCCATCAATTTCTGCAATAGCATTACAATGGTAATAATTTACAGGTCTACGTTCTCGAAGAGGGTATCTCCTCTTGGGTTCCACAGGATCAGCTTCGATTTCAGCTTCTGAAGTCTCCAAAATCTCACTGTTGACAGGTACATTAAGTGTGCTTGAATCAGCTTCTAAAGCGTTAATGTCATGATTTATGTTCCGTTCAGGGCATGTTCTCGTCACAGATTCTTTTTGAACCTCCTCCAAATTTATAGGAACCACTGTGCTTTTCATTTCATCAGAAACGTTATCGCCAGGAAAAATATTTTCTAAAAATTTGACGTCCCTCGCAATTTTTACATTGCCCGTCTTTGGATCGATTAGTCGGTATCCTTTTGTTGTTGTGGAATAACCAACAAAGATCAAAGCTTCCGTCTTTGTATCAAGTTTTTGTCTCTTTTGTTTGGGTTTTAGAGCGTAAGCCAAACAACCAAAAACCTTCAAATGACTTACATTAATTTTTCTTCCTGTCCATAGTTCCTCTGGTACAGCATTGGTAATAGCTTTTGTAGGACTTCTGTTCTTTAAATATGTTACGGTGTTCACTGCCTCTGCCCAAAATTTCTTACTGAGATTTGCTTCATAAAGCAATGTTCTCACCTTCTCCATGATGGATCTGTTTGCTCGTTCAGCTACACCATTTTGTTCAGGTGTATATGGTACGGTGGTCTGATGTTGTATACCTGAGGACTTCAAAAATTTGTCAAAAACACGATTACAATACTCTGAACCGTTGTCAGATCTTAGACATTTAATAGATTTGTTTGTTTGTTTCTCTACTTCTGCCTTGTATTCGCGAAATTTAGCAAATGTTTGATTTTTATTTCTCAAAAAATATACATGTGTCTTTCTTGAAAAATCGTCAATAAATAATAACATGTACCTGCATCCGCTTAGAGAATTTGTTTCAATTGGGCCACAGAGATCAGTGTGCACTATTTCCAAGATATCCGTAGCTCTTGTACCTTGATTTTTGAAGGGACTTTTGCATGACTTTCCATTAATACAAGGTACACATGGTTCACTTAAATTTGTCGATTTTAAATTCATACCAGTTACTAATCCATTCAATTTGTACATATTTTTTTCTACTTAGGTGAGCCAAACGTTTATGCCAAAGATTTGAAATTAATTTATTTGACAATGTCAAGTTGACTATCGGTTTTTCTTTTATTTCATATATTCCGTCAACTTCTTGACAAACCGCAATAATTTTATTTTCTTTCTTAATGCTGCAACCTTCTTGGTTTAAATTAATTTCAAAATTATTTTTTATGAGTTTGCTTGCCGAGACTAAGTTCATGGACAAATCGGGAACGTGTAAAACATCTTCTAAATTCAATTTAGATGTT